ATTTCTGCGTGCCGGATGCAGGACGCGTCAAGAGGGAAGAAAAAAAATTCCATATACATTAAAAACTATTAACAAAAGTTGTGTGCTGGCGATGGCTCAGGCAATGCTTTGTCCATCTCTGCTTTTGTTAGATTTTTCTAGAAAACGAACATTCTTTAAAAATGCTGAACGTTTTAGAAACTTCAACGGTTGAAGAAATTATAGATCAACTGGATTGGAAATATACCTCGCAGAGCGAAAACTATGGCATCAAAATAATATTTAGGTTTCGTTTGTTTTTTCACAGCATTTTATCGTCCATCAAAACTGCACGAAGAATCCAAAAATTTTTCGAAATGACTAATCTAATGTGCTATCATATTTTTCGTGGAGTTTTCTTAAAGATATTAGAAGAGGGATAGCTTTTAGAGCGTCGTAAGATGCGCATCAGCTCCAGTTTAATTTACTAGCTGAAAACCGAAGGATCATTGGGTTATTCGCTCAAATATCATGAGATTACTGATTTTCTCACAAAGCGGCTGAAAATGTACAGAAGCAGTGCATTTGATATCTCATAAAGTTTCACTTTGCCCCGCAGTAAACCTGCACTGTTGTTTGATTTTTCAAACACATTACATTCTTACAAGTTCTGTTAAAAGAAGGCGGAGTTTAGAAGTTTACCATGTAAGTCAGAGTCGCAGCTCATAACAGTGCATATAAGTAATAGGTTATCAAACGTTGCGGCCCTAGGCAGCCTATCAACATTATTCTATAGGGCTAAGTTAAGAACAAGGTATATAATGTCGATTTTTCCACAAATGAACCTCCAATTTCTATAAATTATTAAGGTCTGAGGAAAGCTGATACCGAAAGTTATGACCACTCAAACAGTGTGTTTTTGGGGCATTTCGCGTTGCCTGGGACTTCCTCTGAATTTGTCTAGGCAACAGGCATCACTAATTCGTGGATTAGACTAGCTGTTATACGTATGCTGTTTAAAAAGCTCAGTTCCAGGATTGCCCCATTGTTTCAATGTCTATATACTTTCCTTAAAGATAAAATTGCTGAATATTTATTTTTTGCCTTAGAAATGTAGATTCAAAAAATATGCTAAGATCATTGCTTGTCTCCTGGTCGAAAGCTTGGCAACCGGGGAAGGGGTGCAGATTCATCTGGAATGTGGCTTACATGGTCGAAAGCGGTGCTGATGATGCAGCTGCGACAAACTCGACGAATAATCGTAGTGATGTCTGCGTCGCGGTCTCTCGTTGCTCGGCCAGCGCCCGTGCCATGCCCCGACAGAGAGCGTACCCGACGTGTACCAGCCTGCGTCTCCCTCCGGCCGACCTGGTCAGCTCACTTCGCCAGTCAGCGTCCGCACTTAGTCCTGCACAGCTCGCTAGCTTGAGCATTCCGTCTTCATTTGTCCACTCACCGCATACTTCATTCAAACTCACATTCTCTCGCCCTGATGCGATCATCTCCTATCGCGTTCCTGCTGCGATCTCGCTGTCATGCTTTTTTCTCCTCATGCGTTAATGCAGACCTGTGTTCTTTATGCCGATTGTGACCTCGCTTGGCGCGACAACTAGGTCTTCGACCGGCGTGACCCATTTCGTTTTCGCAACGCTTCCTCGCTGTACTGGCCACATGTTTTTACCTCAAACACACACACACATTCGCCAAGTCCTTTCAGGGAGACGTTACATTTGCAAATACCACATTTTTGTAAAAAGTCACTGTAAATATACGTCGAGTAGTCAAGTTACTGATATGTTTATGAAATTAGCGCGGAAATTGATTGTTCGCTTGTCTCTTCCACTCCAGATGGTCGCGATTGCATAAGTTTGACAATTGTTCACTTTTATCTCTTACCGCTTTTTGATTTGTCACGACCTAATGTACAAATTTTGTAGCTTTATCAATGATTCCAAAACAACAAATTTAGTTATTCACGTTTGGGTAA